GGCAAATTCCTTGGTGCCATGCGGGGCTGAGAAAGCAGGGGAAGAGGGTGGAGGGGAGGACGTTCCCAGAAAAGTGGCTGGAAGCTGTGCTCAGCAAGCCGTCAGCTCCTGCCCTGGGCGCCGTGAGGCACAACCCAGCGTGTGCAGCAAAGCAGAGGACGGAGGCGAGTGCAAGCAGCAGCCTGAGTGCATGCAGGGGCAGGGGGAAAATGTGGGCTCGTGCTGTATGCAGGGTTCAAGGCAGGATCTCTCAGCTGCAGGCCAGAGTACCCCACAATCATGCTTCTGGAGAGGGTCAGGGTCCATGCTCCTCTCCTTTCCCAAAACCTCACCTGCCCCCTCCAAGAAACCAGCATGCCAGACCCAAGAGAGCCGATGCACTGGTCAGTGCAAGGGAGCATCTCGTCCCGGGGGACCGTGCCCAACAGCTTTCCTGGGGGTGTCTGCAATGCACCAGACACAGCCCCGAGGGGCCTAGGAGTGCTTTGAAGGATGCCGGGCCCACAGCAAGAGAAGTGGCACCAGCCGGTCGGTTCAAGGAGTTTTGCAGGGACCAGCCACGAAGCAAAGACCACCAGACACCAAGCCCCTGGGACATCCCCTCCCCACAGCTGCACGGGTAGGATAGTTGCCACCCCGCTGCCATGGACTGCCCAGGCACACGGGCACCTCTGTGGGCCTCGAGCCCTGCAGCCAGCTGGACCCAATTGCCATCACCCTGGACGGCTGGAGCTGGCCGCACCGCGGAGGGGCCGAGAGCTCCCACAAGGCAGCAGGGGACATGCCAGCAAGCCTCCATCCCTTAGGAAGTGCAGCTCAGCCATCTGCCCTGCCAGACCCTCCGTTAAATCAGGGACAGCAGTGGCCTCCTCAAAACCAACTCATTTTCTATCCCAGTTCAGTTTGTCTGGACTAGTGTTTAACACGTGCACGCACAACGCCCACCCACCCCCCACCAATCAAGCCATTTCCTCCCAGATAACAATCCATCTGCTCAGAAAACAATGCTCTTTTATTCAGAAGACCTCAGCACCCTGGGAAACCTGGGTTCATTCCCCAGCTTTGCCTCTGGCCTGCTGGGGGACCGAGGACAAAGCTGGGGAAAGAACCTGGGGGTCCTAGTCCATAATTGCTTCCCGTCTCTGGGATGCTGCGGAGCTCCCAAAACCTCATCCCCCTACATGCACAGGGGTTGCTGGAGCTGCAGGGACCCAAAGCCAGGCTAGAAAGCACCTCAATTCCCAAGCCAACACAGCTCAATACAGCCAAGGTAATCCAAGCCCCCCGTTGCGCTGCTCCAAGTTGGGCGGTCGATGCCCCCACCCCTTGCCCACGAAGGATAGCTGTCACACAGGGGCTGATAAGCCATTTTGCCCTTCCTGTCCCAACCCCATCCAGGGCAGGGGCATGCTACCCGCTTGTTACCTTTGGCTGGAAGGATGCTTTTAGCTTGGCAGGCCCGGCCTCGGGTTTGATCTCTTCGCTGGAGTCTTCGCTGTAGCTCTCGAACTCGCTGGAGCTCCAGCCTAGATCCTGGGCGTCCCGCTGCCCCTCCTCCCGATGCACGTCCTCGTAAATCAGGTTTCTGTCTGTCCCTGGAGGGGGAGAGACCACGGCACCATTGGCAAAGGCATGCAGGGAGACATTTCATCAGGCACTCTCTGCATGGATGCAGTTCAACACTATGGGCATGTCTACACGTGCATGAATGCACTTTAGTTAATGCGCATTAAAATCTAGTACCTATATTGCAAGGTACTTGGGAAATGTGTACTAGCCTGCCTTAATAAGCATGAACTAAAGTGCATGCTTTTTTAAGTGATGCTTAATGTGCATGAGCCTATTTTAATGCACATTAAGTTTTTACATGATGCTTTATTGCGCATTAAAATAGGCTAATGCACATTAAAGTGCATGTGTAGATGCATCCTAAATGCCTCAGTGTCTCTGCCTCCCGCACCCCCCACATCTGGCTACAGAGCTCCCACTGGGACCGACCAACGGCCAGGCTCACACTACACTCCTTTCCCTTGGGAGACAAACTCCAGACCTAGGACAGACTCCTGGTCTATGGGTACAGACACTGGCAAATCATGCCCAGGCAAAACCAAAGAGAATCTCCTAACCACCGTTAAAAGGATCTGTGGACTCAGGATTGATATGTAGTGTAGGGGAACAGCCCTGCAGGCAGCAGGGGTGGAGGGGAAAGAAGTGGAGGGGAACAAACTGGTCCAGTGGTCTTTTCTTGCCTGTCCATGCCAGCACCTGCAGGGCTTACATTAAGGCAGGGGGACGGGCTGAAGCAGGTAGGTTGTCCTCTTAACACCCATGCCTCAAGCAGCCACACAACATACCCCAAGGATGGACCAGGGTGGGAGTGATTTGCACCCAAAAAGGCTCCCGAGTTTCCTAGACAGGCCATCCAGGCCTCCATGCCAAAAGGGAGCAGTAAGAAACTTGATGAGAGAGGCAGGTGTGCATAATGGGGGTTAGGCCCAGGTAGGACGGTCCCCCCTATACATGCAGAGAGCTCACCAGGAGCAATGCTGAAGGCTGCACAAAGAAACAAAACCAAGGGTCCCCCCCACACAAACGATGATAGCTGCACAGCTGCAGGATGCCGTGCTGTGCCGCGGGAGCGGGCGTGTGCGCTCGACAGCAGAGGGCACTCCACCGCCACAATTAAGCAGATTCGTTCTCTTCTTGGGGTGGAAAAGGTGTAGCTACTGCAGATGGAGCCTAATAAGTGATGATAAGTCCGCAGAGCCCCAGGCGGGGAAGCCTCTTGGCCAGGGGGAGGAGGCAGGAAAAGCATCGTTTCCATCTCGGGAGAGGCGTATCATTATCATTATTATTATTAATTATCATGATGAGACCATTGTGACGGGAGGGAGATGCCACTGCACTGAGTGCTCTACCAGCAAATCAGTAAAAAATACTCCCCCGGCCCAAAGACGTTGCAAGCTCAATAGAGCAGCCAGACAAAGGAAGGCTGCTTATCCCGCCTTTACAAACAGCAAGTGGAAGCCCAGAGGCCAGTTAACATGGGAAAAGGCCGAGATGACAGGTATTACAACTTACGGCTGAGTCCTGACCACCCGGCCTGGGCAACACTGGGCAGTCCCTCTACAACGAGTGACACCGAATGCACTGGTTTAAACTATCAGTGTTTTGTGCAGGTTGAACTCCAGCGACCGGGACCACGCTGCACCGGGGATTATGCAGACAGGACAAAAAACGCCCCAAATTACTGCAGCATCACACATGCCAGGGTCAGCTGAGTGCAACTTCCAGCAGCAAAGACACTGCCAGGTGCACGGGCTCCTTGCGCTCAGGGTCCTTCACCTCCATTAGGGTCTTGAGAGCGGGCTCCACCATGCGGGAGAGGAGGAGAGATGGATGAAGACCAAAATGGGCATCAGGCCTGACGTGCATCCAATACAACATGCTCCCTGTACTCTGGGATAATGTTGGGCTCTCTGTTTTCTAGCTTAAGGGAAACAGCTGGGCTTTTTCCACTGCTGGAACATCTGTGCCAGGGGCTAGGGAGGGACCCGGCCTCCGTCTGCAGCCCGGCAGGAGGAAGAGATGCGCTGGAAGGAATGTGGGCAGACAGGAATGCTAAGCTGACGTCCAGCACCGGTTTGCAGTCACCGGACTATTTTTAAATGCAGATAAACAACTCCCTAAAAGATTTGGGAAGGTATCCGGTGCAGCCGGACACAGAGGCACAAAGAAAGAGCAGCCATGATAGCCTTCCCACCCACAGAGCCTCACGCTGGAGGGGCAAAGCCAGCACCTAGGGGCCTTTACTGAGACTGGAGCCGTACCGTACAAGACCCGTGCCAAACACAGGCTGCCCCCCACACCTGAACAGACAAAAGCTGCAATATTATATTATCGCTCCTTTGACAACCAAGGCATGAGGCACAAAAGTTAGGTAACTTGCCCAAGACCACCCAGAGCATCTGTGGCAGAGCCCAGAAGCGAACGCAAATCTCTACAATCTCATCCACATGCCTCACTAGACCCTAAGGTGAGTACAGGTGCCCCAGGTGCCAGCCTCTTGGGACCCAGACGCCCCTTACAGCCAGGTATGTAGAGCAAGCTGGCACGAGAGGCGTCCCAAGAATGGCTCTCATCCAGCCTCTGCCAGTTTAGCTCAAGCTTTTGTGAAGACAAGCCAGCTTTGGGCCAGCGGCATTTGGACAAGAAGAGGATGCACGTGCCAAATGAGGGAGCTCTGGGTGGCGGAGGGGCCTACAGAGCAGCTTGCTGGACGGCAAGCTGCGTGCAACGATTTGAGGACGGGGTATAACTACGCGGCTCTGAGCATCTGGTGCGGGCTGCCTGAGAAACGCCCCCTCTTCCCGCAGCAAGTGCTGTTTAACCAGAGGCAGAAGATCCTGTATCAGCGAGTTCAGTGGTGCAGAGACTCAGGGTGGCTCTTCGGGCCGGGGGAGCGGCAGGGCGAATTCCTGTTAGCAGGAGACAAGACGCACCTGGAAACCAAAGAGGGAGATCTGCAAGGTCAGCTCCAGCTCAGCAGCTGATGGGGGACCATCCGACGCCAAAATCTTTACAGCACGAGCAGCTGGTTAGCCCACATCCATCCCCGGCTTGCTCTGTGAGCTTAACGAGACGAGGCTGGGCAGGGAGGACGGCGCTAACCTGGGGAGGGGCCTATGGAGCCGTCCGACAAGCTGTCTCCCTGCCCCTGCCTGGGAGCAGACCCGCTGGAGCCTCTCGGAGCTGGGGGTCCTCAGGATGCGAGCAAGGGGGACAGCATGCATGTGAAGGGCATCTCGACCTGTGCAAGCCAGAAGTGCTGAGGGTGCATTTCCTCTCCCTCTCGCCTTTCAGCTCTCAGCCAGCTGCAGGTCCCAGCACCAGTGCCAAGCCCTGCTTCCACCTTCACCTCGCAGACTCATCCCAGCCTCACCACCGCTGGATGATGCTCTGAGCGGTGGTGGCAAAGGCCTGGGAGCCATCTGCACCCGGAGCGAGACAGCGCTGGACCCACGATCCTGGAAAATCCCTTTTGAGGGTGGGATGGGACTGTAGTGTCATGGCTCGTCTTAGCAAATCAGCCCCCGTCCACTGTCGCCCACTCCAAGACCAGGCATCCTCCATCCTTGCAGCCGTTCCTCGCCCCCAGGCCACGTACACAATCCAGAGTGCCCCTACGCCGCGGATGGGCTCCAGCTGGGTCCATCCAGCTCCTGCTGGTTGCTGGTACAGACCCAGTGCTGCATTATATTAATGGCATGGAAAAGCCGGTGGCTCCATCCCACACGCATCTCTCCGAAGTAGTGCAGATCCCTAATGCCTTTTTCCACCTCCCATCCCCAGCCGACAGCCTCTTCCTCCAGAGTGAATCAGCACCTCTGGAGACCCTGAGGACTCCCTGGTCCAGCCGGGAGCAAGCCGGCCTGGCTTTGCACAAGTCCGAGCTATGCCAGCCTGCACCTGCTGCGGGCCTTGCCTCTGGAGGGACCGACCAGGCACCACGCAGGCTGAAGGAAGCCAACAGCGCTAAAGCAGAGTCTGAGGGAGAGGGGATGGGCTGGGAGTCAGGACCCCAGCAGAGATATGGGATCCTCTGAACACAAGACAAACCACTTCCCTTCCCTCTGCCGCCCTTTCCCCAGACGTAAGACATCACCTTTCCCACCTGGCAGCACCCTCATCAGGGCACCAAGACCCAGAGATATGGGACCATTTTAGTGATGAGAGGGTGGACAGGAGAAGGGGAGGGGGCACGTTGAGAAAGAGGGAGCATTTGGGGAGGTTTCATACCGTACTGATCCGAGTCCAGGTTTTCACAGGGGACGTCATCGTAGATCACATCTTCCTCCAGCGCCGGGAACTCAAAACGGTCGCCTAGAAGCAGGAGCAGAGGACATGCTAAGCCCACGCCGCCGGCAAAAGGAACCCATGTAACAGCTCCTTCTGCATCTGACTTGTCCTCCCAGCTGCCAGGAGCCTGCGCAGCGTGATGGGGAAGGCACCAGATGGGGAGTCAGGAGCCCCGACACCTGCTCCTGCCTCTGACAGCCGAGCTCTTTCACCTCCCTGTGACTCATCTCCCTCCCTTGTCCTGTTAGATCATCTGCCCCGGGGCAGGGACGGCCTCGCTGGGGCGTGCGCACCCAGGACGATGGAGATGGCTCAGCCTTGGTTGAACACCTGATTTTTCAGCGCGCTGCTCTTGGTGCTTTTTCAATGCCGGGGGGAACAGTATCTTGCTAACACTAAACGCAACCCTTGTGTCAGACCCCTCCGCAAGGATTACTCCAGCTCTGTATCTAGGTTTTACAGCTTGGCTCCGTCTCCTTTCTGATAAGCGGGAGGCTGGAGCTGCCAAGTCAGATGTGCTCAGGTCAGGGCCTTCCAACTCAGCAGAGAGAGATCAAGCCCCACGTGATCTACAGCCCCAAACTGCCCTAAATAGACTAAAATATTCAGGACTCATGGTAGAGGCGATATCTTTTATTAGACCAACTAGATTTTTGCACCCCAAAATGAATAACTAAATAAATAAATAAATAATTCTTGAATTCTTGCAAAAATCCAGTTGGTCTAATAACAGATATCACCTCAACCATGAGTCCTGAATGCTTTTTTCCTCTAGACCAATATGGCTACAACCTGGATACCCAAATAGAGACTAGCCTCTGGGCTCAGACCCTTCCCCATTTTCACCCACTGAGCCCTCAACACCTTCTTCCAGGCAAAGTAACATTGGGGTACGTTTGCTCCAACGTAACCGAGGGGTGGACAGCTACCTCCGGGAGAGCTGGTCATCTCTCCTCTCCAGATACCAGCATAAAGTACATCCAGTTGGGAAGTTAAATGGTATGAAGCATCTAGGCCCTGAGTCATTGCCCCACCCGCGAGTCCCAGTCCCAGAGATGCCCCATAGCCCTCCTATCCTGAGGACTGTTGCCTGTTTACCACCGGAGAAGAAGAGGATGGGAAAAGCCTTGCCAGCTCCCCTACGGATGCTAAGAAAGCAGCAGCTCCGTTTCAAGGAAGGTGCGGCGCTCTCCACCCATGAGCCCATGCAGGTATCTGGCCCCTACCTCGCCGGGAGCTTTTCCTCTTCCAGCTGAAGGTGCGGGTCCTCGACTGGGAGCTGCCCACCACATCTCCATTGCTGACCACCGAGAGGAGCCTGGAGCAGAAAAGCAAAGCACCGGGTCAGGCTGAGTTAGCAGGGGGCTGGGTGAAGATGGACAGGAGCAAATCCAGCAGCCTGAGGGCCTCTTCAGAGCAAGCGCCGCTCATGCAAGCGGTGCGGTAGCAGGGCAGGCCGGGCAGCAAGCATTGCCAGCTCCACCAGCATGCACAACCCACATGAGGGCACAGGTGCTGCACGCAGACTGCAGCCTGGGGGTACCCAACTGAAGGGGGAGCACCTTCTAGGTTGGTAGCAGGGAAGCACAGCAATGCAAATTCAGCACAGGCCACCTGACACCCTTGTTGTGAGCTTGGCCAGCTCATTAGCCCTGCAGTGGCTTCACTGTTACTGGTGCCCGAGCTGGCTTCCGCCTCCAGTGTAGACGCACCAGCTCCCCGCAAAGGTTAAATGAGCCTGTTCCTGCTTCCAGTGGAGAGCGTCGTTCCTTATGCTCAAGCATGCTCCAAAGGGCCTGGGTTCAAGCCCACTGATGGCCCTGGGGCAGCTTGTTACACACGTCCCCACATGCATGCTTGGCTCCTAGATGTGCCGCACCGGAGGCCTGGAGCTACACGGCAGATCTCGGCTGCGTGCCTGCCTCTACCACGCTGCCACCGCTGCTCCTGACAGACCCACGTGGCAGAAGTTTCCCTCCATTTGCCTAATTCCCTTCCCATTGCCCACCACCGTGTTGCTTTGCCTCCTTACCTCCTCCAATGCACTCTCTCCCCCCATGATAAATCGACCCTGTTCCTCTCCCACGGCTCATTAGCTCCTCGGGGCAGGGACCTGCCTGGGTCTCTTCCAAATTGAGTCTCACGCACCATCTTTATCCATGCTAGGTCTGTACAAATGTGCCACCGAGGCAGCCCCTGCCACCAAGCACTTGCCAGTCTCCTGTAAAGCTATTTCGCTTCAATGCGGGGAAGCTAATTTTCCAAGCTAGGCAGGAAAGGTCTGAGCATATGCTTCAGATAGGGCCAAGAAAGCAGGTCTCATTTATGGCCAGGAGCCACCACGGTGGCCATACATCATGCCTCATGGAGGATGGATACCAGCTAAGGCACCGCACCGGCACTCAGAAGAACCGGGTTTTGGTCTCCGTCCTAACATAGCGTGAGTGCAAGGCCAAAAACTAGGCACAAACCCCATTCCTTATAAGACTGCCACTTGCATTCGCTACCCTCCAGAAGACTCGGCTCTAGGCCCTGGCAGGGCATGCCAGCTGCAACCGTACATTTGCCAAGCACACCAACCAGCACAACAGGGCTTGAGAGTGTTTTAAGGGTCTGTGCAAGTCCCATTAGCGCTCAAAGGGGAGCCAGGTTTGAAATCTCGCCTACTGGAGAGGGTTGAGGCCGGGATGAACAGAGACCGTGTGAGAAAAGCGATGAGATGACACAGGGGTTGATGGTGCCCGGGGGACCCTGCATCCTCCCAGCCTTCCTCAGGGAGAGATCCTCTCCCCCAGCCCTGCAGGAACCCGACTCAGCCAGGCAGATCTATCCTGGGGGAAGAGTCAAGGCTCCCTTCAGCTATGAAGCATCACAGCTGCACGATGTCGTGACTTTCTGCGGTCCTACAGCAAGCTCAGAAGCCAGTCGGCATTGCTCTCCGTAGGAGCGGATGGAAGGGCTCAATTCCCCATCATGGTGCAAGCACAAAACCAGAGGGGACGTCCACCGCATCGCCTTATGTCCCCGGCTCATGTGCTGGGTCTGGGGGGACCCCGGGGGACCCGAGGCAGTCAGGCCGCACCTGTCCGGGGGGCTAGCCCCCGCCGGCGGGGGGATGGGCAGGCAGCAGTGCACCAGCACCTGCTCCTGTGCAGGCTGAGAGCTCCCTGTCCGCCCCAGGGGTGGGTCTGTCCTGCACGGGAGACCCATGCAGCTCATATAGCTGAGGAGCCGGTCTGAAGTCACCGAGCTCCCTCCTTTGAGCCTGGCGCCCTGGCTGGAGCAATGAGTGGGGGCGTCTTCCTTCAGAGAGGGAAAGACTGAGACCTACACGTGCCCGGCTGCTCCCCTCTCCCTCCCTTGCTCGCCCCAAATTTCTGCTATAGGCACGATAGGCCTGCAAGTGTGGGGCTCAGTCTTCTCCATGCCTCCCTTGAAGACCCTGGTAAGTGAGCAAGGAGCTAGTCCTGGCCCAGCCAGGGAAGGGCAGCTCAGGGTGGGCACCTGCTGTACCCCAGCATCCTGCTGCCCCCCTCCAGCAGCCCCCCCCCCACCTCTTGTACCTTTAAAGCCAAGCGCTCTGCTCCTCTCAGGAAAAACGCAGCAAGACCCCCCCTGACATCTTGTGGGACACCCCCAGCGCCCACCGCCCCCGCGGTCGCCCTCGCTCCTGCCGGGCGTGGAGGCGATGTCCTTGTAGCTCCAGGCAGCCGCTCCTCTGCCTGCCCAGCCCCGCCGGTTCCTCTCCCACGTCGAAGGCGCACAGCTGTGCTGACTGGGCGAGATCCCCGAGCCAGCGAGCTGAGCAAACTCGCTACCGCTTTCCTCTCCCCGGCCGCATCCTCCCTGCGTGTCGCAACGCCACCGGGACCACGGGGCATCGTCGCGCTGACACCCAGACCCGCTGCGCAGCCACTTCGCCTCCCTCCGCAGAGGTCTGCTCCCTCGTTAGGCTGCAACAGCACTTCTTGGCAGGAGGAGGGAGAGCAACACATTTGTGAGGATCGATGGAGCTGCTCAGGCAGGAGGCTCTGGAGACACCGGGACTGGAGAGAGGTGCCAGGATGCTGGCGTGCAGCCTCGCGGCTGCTCTACTTGGTGCTAACCCCAATTTGGGAGCAGACAGAAGGAGCCAGGACTCTGCAGGCCTAGGCTGAGCGACCCTGGGCAAGTCATTGCTCCTCTCCTCTCTGTACCTCTGCTTCTCTTTGCCCTCGGTGGGACACAGGTGCGTCAAGGGGAAACGCCGCAGCTCTGCCACCGTCTCAGAAACCGGGGACCTGTCCTCAGCAGGGACCTCGGGCACTACTGCAGTAACACCGACGCGTAAAGCACGTTCGACAGCAGCTTTCTCTCACCTGCCAAATCCCCACCTTGCTGCCCCATCCATATCCTGACACTCGCACTGCACCGGGGGAGCACTCCCGGCCCCCTTGGAAAGGAAAAGAAACACCGTGTTTTCCCGGGGTGGCATAACCACACGCTGCGTGCCCGCTTCGAACCAAAAACAAGGGCATGCAACTTCCTGAGCTGCATCTGCCAGGTGGTACAGGAAAGCGCTGCATGCCGAGCTGCCGAATCCTCCTCTCTCCACCACGCTCTGCAGCCTGATGCAGCTCATTTACGGCCTTAAATGCAGCCCCCGCCCCGGTACTGCTGTGAACGTCGATGAACGCTACAAACTAGGAATACTCTCTGAGCTCCTACACAGCTAGCGCTGCTTTTAAGAAACAAGACATTTGCCCACAACGGAAACTTAAATCTTTACAACAGCAGAAAGCAAATCCAGTGTCAGTCAAGGGCCATTTCACTCTGGTTGCCATTAGGGGTCAGGATTTAGGCACGATCTTCCCTCCCAAGCCAGACTCGCCTTTTTTGTACCTCTGACCCTCTTCCAGGAGCCCAATGCCCCACGGCTCAGAAAGGACCGCGTAGTCTGCAGGCCTGAAGCCCAGCAGATGCTCTTCTTGCACCTCCTGAAGGGAGAAATCCCTGTCCCCAGCATGCTAAAAGTCTGCGAGAGATCAGTGCTGAAGCCAAGCCTTGCAATTTAGACCCAGCCCTAGTAGGGACAGAATTAATGTGCTGTATAAGTGTCCCGAGAGAACAACATCCTGTGGGATGACTAACCTGGGTCTGAATCCAGGAGTCGCACCGCAGGTGTTAACCAGGAGAAGCGAAGCATGCTCCATGATGCTCCTTTCGCCCCTAGCCTCCAGCATTGCTGCCCACCACCCATCCAGCGCCAGGGTCGGCCTCGCCACGTGAAATGCAAGCGTTGAGGAAGATGAGGGAGAAGCTGGAAGGCGCCGACACGGGGAGAGCCCCAGAGGTGGGGGATACTGGCTGACTGGTGGGAAGAAAAGATACCTCCAAAACCAGCGAGCAGCCGAACTGTGTCCTGGGAGCACCCAGGCTCCTCTGATTTATTCCCAGCAGCGCCGATGGCGAGAAGGCAGAATAGCTACCCATCGTGCCCCACTTGCTCTGGCTGGGCTGGAAAGCAACAGAAATTCGCACATCTCTACACACCGCTGTGCCCAATGCCCAGCTGTGTAGACAGCCCTGCCAGCTGCCTCAGGGCAGCCAGCAGCACTCGCTGCATCTGTAGGGGCAGCAATATGCAAAACTAAGGGCATGGATATGGGCGTTTGAATCCTGCATGAAAGGAGCGAGCGGATAGCCCAAGCCACCTAAACCGAAGTCGTTTCACCTACACCGACGATGCAGAATCACCCTGGAAAAAAACCAGGGCTAAGAGCCCCACCAGTTTCTGCCACTTCTCTCTAACATGCCTCTTGCCAGGCTTCCTAATGGGCATCACGTGCCTGATCCTTCAGCTGTCCTGTGTATTATGCAGCCAGAGCCACGTGAAACACTATTTCTGTGCCAGCAGCTTTTTGCAGCAACACAAAGGGCAGGGATACGGCGACTGGGAAAGGAACCGCCTAGGAAGGCAGAGTGCTCAGGGGCAGGCTCGCAGATCCACGTCTCAAGCTGCCCAGCCCCTCTACCCCCCTACTTCTCTCCCCGGCTCCCAGAAGCAGGCCTTCATCCCCTGCTTTTGGCAGCATTTCCTGCTTCTCACGGCAGGAGCATGGGCTCCAAAACACAGGGGCATCAAAATGGAGCCTGTGCAGGAAGGACTGTGAATAAAGCCCACAAGCTGTATTTGCTTAATTGACTTCATCCTCACACAGTGCACTCGTTCCGCTGCAAAAACAAGCCAAATGTAGACCCAGCCCCTACCAACGGCACCACCAGCTCAAGGGAAAGGGGGTCTTTCAACACACATCACCCACCCCAGGGTGCAAGTCA